CTGAGACTTTTTATGGGACTAAACCATAAAAAAAAATTTATTCAGCTATGAAAACGGTAACAAAACAGCAGCCAAAGTCCGAGAGCATTATCAGGTTTTAACTTTTGCATACAGTATTTAATGCACAGTAAATTTTTGTAATTTGTGTGACAGAAATATTTAGAGATAAACCAATCAAATGTAGTTTTAGTCAGAAAAAAAAAAGACTCGCTTCAAATCTAACAACACATACAGACTGAAAGTGAAGACAGAAAAATATATACCATGTAAACAGAAGCAGAAAAAAAAGCAATGCCTGTATCAGACAAAATAGACTTTGAAATAAAGATCGCAGCAAGAGACAAAGACACTACATAATAGTGTAAAAGGGATAAAAGAATCACTCTAAAAGGAGGATGTAACAATTATTAATACCTATGCACCCAATACAGGAGAACTTAAATACATAAAGCAAATATTAACAAAGAGAAAAACGGATGGTAACACAATAGTAGGGGATATGAACAATTCATTTACACCAATGGACAAATCATCCAGACAGAAAATCAGTAAGAAAACCAACAAAAATCTATCAACACACTAGACCAGATGGACGTAACAAATATACACAGAACGTTCCAACCAAAATCAACAGAATACACGTTTTTCAAGTGTAAATGAAACATTCTCCAGGACAGAGGACATGTTAGGCCACAAAACAAGTCCCAATTTTAAAAGTTTGAGATGGTTACCAGAGAGGAGGTGAGTGAGAGGATGGGTGAAACAGGTGATGGGGATTAAGGAGTGCACCTGCTATAATGAGCATCCGGTAATGTATAGAATTAAATCACTATATTGTACACCGGAAAACTATTACTATATGTTAGAATTAAAAAACTAAAAAGTTTGAGATATCAAGCATCTTCTCTGATCACAACACTATGAAACTAGAAATCCATTAAAAGAAAAACACTGGGCAAACTACAAACACACAAAACGGCTAAATAACACCTTACTAGACAACCAATAAATCAACAAAGAAATCAAAGAGGAAATAAAAAAAATACATGGAGACAAATGCGAATGGAAAACACAATGGTCCAAATTCTTTCGGATGCAGTGAAAGTAGTTCTAAGAGGAAAATTCACAGTGATACAGGCTTACTTCAAGAAACAAGAAAAATCTCAAACAATCTAACCTTACATGTAAAGGAACTAGGAGAACAAAGCCCCAAGCCAGTACAAAGGAGGATATAATAAAGATCAGAGCAGACATAAATGAAATAGAGACTTAAAAAACAATAGAAATGATCAATGAAACCAAGAGCTGGTCCTTTGGGAAAAAAAAAAAGAGAGAGCGAGCAAGAGAGGGATAAACATTTAGCCAAACCCAAAAAGACACAAAGAGTCGTCAAGTAAATGCAGAAAAGGAGGAGAAGATATTACAACTGACACCACAGAAATACAAAGAATTCCGGGGCGCCTGGGTGGCGCAGTCGGTTAAGCGTCCGACTTCAGCCAGGTCACGATCTCACGGTCCGTGAGTTCGAGCCCCGCGTCAGGCTCTGGGCTGATGGCTCAGAGCCTGGAGTCTGTTTCCGATTCTGTGTCTCCCTCTCTCTTTGCCCCTCCCCCGTTCATGCTCTGTCTCTGTCCCAAAAATAAATAAACGTTGAAAAAAAAAAAAAAAAAAAAAAAAAAAAAAAAAAAGAAATACAAAGAATTCCAAGACAATATTTGAAAAGGCATATGCCAACAAATGGACAACATAGAAGAAATGGATAAATTCCTAGAAACATATTATCCTCCAAAACTGAATCAAGAATAGAAAATTTGAACAGATCAAATACCTTAACAAAATTGAACTGGTAATCAAAACACTCCAATGAACAAAAGTCCAGGACTAGATGACTTCACAGGTGAGTTCTATCAAACATTTAAAGAAGAGTTAATATTTAGTCTTCTCAAACCATTTCAAAAAACAAAGAGGAAGGAAAACTTCCAAATTTATTCTACAAGGCCAACATTACCCTGATACCAAAACCAGACAGACACCATCTCTGATGACCATAGATGTACAAATCCTCAACAAAATATTAACAAACTGAATTCAGTAATACATTGAAAGGATCATTCACCACAATCAAGTGGAATTTATTCCAGGATTGCAAGTGTGGTTCAATATATGCCAATCAATCAATGTGAAACTCTACCCTAACAGGTATAAAAACCATATGATCATCTCAACAGATACAGAAAAAACATTTGACTAAATTCAATACCCATTCATGATAAAAACTCAAGTGGGTTTAGAAGGAACATACCTCAACATAAAAAAGGTCATATATGACAAACCCACAGCTAATATCATACTCAACGGTGAAAAACTGAAAGATTTTCCTTTAAAGGAAAATCAGGAACAGGACAAGGACACCCACTCACCACTTTTACTCAACATAATACTGGAAGTGCTAGTGGCAGCAATCAAACAAGAAATAAAAGGCATCCAGACTGGTAAGGAAGTAAAAAACTGTCACTATTTCCAGATACATATAGAAAATCCTAAGACTCCACAAAAATTTTTTTTTGAAAAATGAATTCAGTAAAGCTGCAGGACACAAAACGAATATACAGAAATCTGTCACATTTCTGTACACTGAGAACAAAGTAGTAGAAAGAGAAATTAAGAAAATAATCCTAAATAGGATTATTATTATTAATTGCACTTAACAGAATACTAGGAATAAATTTAATCAAGGAGGTGAAAGAGCTATACTCTTTAAATTTTTTTTTAACGTTTATTTATTTTTGAGACAGAGAGAGACAGAGCATGAACGGGGGAGGGCCAGAGAGAGAGGGAGACACAGAATCTGAAGCAGGCTCCAGGCTCTGAGCTGTCTGCACAGAGCCCGACGCGGGGCTCAAACTCACGGACCGCGAGATCATGACCTGAGCCGAAGTCGGACGCTTAACCAACTGAGCCACCCAGGTGCCCTGCGATCTTGCTATTTCTGACAACATGAAATGCACCTAGGGAGTATAATGCTAAAAGAAATCACAGAAAGATAAATACTATATGATTTCACTTATATGTAGAATCTAAAAACAAAACAAATGAAAAGACAAGCAAACAAAACACAGAAACAGATTCATAAATACAGAAAAGAAACTGGTGGTTGGCAGAGGGGACATGGGACAATGGGTGAAATGGGGATTTAGTACAAACTTCCAGGGTTGCCTGACTGGCTTTGTTAGTAGAGAATGAGACTCCCGACCTGGGGGTCGTAAATTCATGCCCCACACTGGGTATGGTGATTACTTAAAAATAAAATCTTAAAAAAAGAAAAAACAGAAGTACAAACTTACAGTTAAAAAATAAGTAAGACACAGAGATGAAAAGTACAGTATAGGGAATACAGCCAATAATACTGCAACCAACATATGGTGATAAATCATTTTAAAAAAAATCTGTAAGACAGCTTTAATTTGCTTATTCTGTAAACCAGTACGAAGGTACAGTTAAATTCAATGCAAATAAAAACCGATATATCTTTGTAAGTATGACCAATTTTTGCTCATGCATGGAAAGTAATGGAATAAGAATTAAATATACACTTGAAGAAACATGCCTGCAGATCTGTTTCAGCAGGGCTTTCATTTTCATCATCTCCTGCTCTGACAGTATCAGAATGACAATCTTCCTCAGCTTCTGCCTGAAGGGGAAAACAAAATAATCATCAGGAATATGCAAACATCAGTTTCCCTTTGTAATCCACATCTCCTTGAGCTACTTGCCCAGTGAAATATTTAGTTGCTTCTCTCTCATCTCCTTCACAGTTAAGTTTAATGATTCCAGTAGAATAAAATTCCATACTTCTTTTTAACAGTGCAGAATAAACAACTTTACTGGACTCCAGTTAAAATGTTATGGTAGATGATTTAAAACAGCTCTGCTTCAGAAAATAACATTTAGTTGTAGCATAGAGTTCAGCAAATAGTTTTCTTTTCATCCAGCACTTAAAAGACCATTTTTAGTCCATAGGTAGATGCCCTTCCTTTTACACCACTGGCATGTTACTAATATGTGAATGCGACTTTTCTCTTATTATTTTAAATGTCCTGGGAAAGGTCATTAATTAAAGACATGTAATAGTGAATGTTTCTGTAAAGAAGCCTGTTCTGTCTTATAAACCTAGATTTATATACACTGGATTGATTTAAGTGGAAAAAACATGGGCTGGAATTACTGTGCAATGGTTTGGGGCTTAACAGCGGTCTCAGGTCAGTTTCCTTGCATTTTATCCTTTTATTCTCAATATATGTTTGCTAAGTTAAACTGAATCCTACTTCCAGTGAAAATGAAATGCTTCCTCAGTTCAGTCTGTTAGCTAACAGGCTCAGTAGCAAATGGGACTTGCTCAACACTTCATGTGTTCAGTCCCACAATGTGGTAATAGGGGAAATGACCAGAGGGTTAGAAATTAGAACAAAACCTACTTAATTTCACTTGTTTCCAAGATGCAAGCTTTATAATTGTAAATTTTCACTGTAATTTGTTTCTAGGACAAAACACATTAACACAAATTTTTGAACTTGGCAACCAGACAGACTTGTACTACTTTACATCACAACATAAATAAGCCTCATTTCATATCTTATCTGTGGCAACCAGACTCAAAGCAGAGGTGACTTTAAGACTTGAACTAGTTAGTATATTGGAAAGTGCTGGGCACACCGCAAAGGATAAATTAATGAAGATATCAATGAAAGAGGCCAAGATTCTGAACTAATTTCCAGAAAAATGGAAAATGGAAGCACTAATGTATTATCAAATATATTTTTTGGTCTCTTTAAGCTGGGAGCTTTTGTACTAATAGGAAAACCCATAATGAAGGACTTCGAATTTTTTTTTTCAATTAAAAAAATTTTTTTTATTTATTTTTTAAATTTACTTATTTTGAGAGAGACAGTGCAAGTGGGAAGGGACAGAGAAGGAGACAGCAAGGATCCCAGGCAGGCTCTGTGCTGCCAATACAGAGCCAAATGCAGGGCTTAAACTGAAGAAATTGTGAGATCATGACCTGAGGAGAACCAAGAGTCAGACACTTAACTGATTGAGCTACCCAGGTACCCCAGGACTTTGAATTTATAGACCCCATTGAGGAGGATCTTTCTATCCTTAAATAAGAGGCTGCTTTATCACTGTAAACACTAAGTGCAGCTAATGGGAGGGGACCTGAGCTCCCTCTGACATCCTCTTTGTAACTCAGCCTTCTAACTCTGGCCTAGCAGTCTTACTAAAGTGACTTCATTCCAGAGCTTCCCCTGCTCTCTCCAGCTCCATGCTCTTGCACATGCTGCTTGCTCTCTCCATATGGAATAACTTCTTCCTCACTTGGTAACTTCTCATCCTTCAAGGTTCAGTTCAGGGATCATCCCAGTAAGTCTAATCATTTGAACTGCCTTTGTTTCCCTACAACATTTGTGCTTGTATCATAGCATTTAACAACTGTATTGAGATTATTTTTGTCTCTTTGCTAGAGTCAGTGCATTGGGAACAGGATCAGTCATATTAGTAACCTTAGAGGGCCAAACACATTGCTTAAGTTGTAGAAAAAGCCTGTCCAGGCTTCACCTTTCACATCTGTGAAGAGAGGGTTGTTGGATTTGATAACCTCCGAGGTACTTTTTCATATGTGACATTTTATGATTAACAGTTTACCATAAATCGGGGCACCTGGGTGGCTCAGTTGGTTGGGTGTCCGACTTTGGCTCAGGTCATGATCTCACAGTCCATGAGTTCGAGCCCCACATCAGGCTCTGTGCTGACACCTCAGAGCCTGGAGCCTGCTTCAGATTCTGTGTCCCTCTCTTGCTCTGCCCTTCTCTCACTAGTGCTCGGTCTCTCTAAAAATGAATAAACATTAAAAATAAATAAATAAAAATTTTCACCATAAATCACCTTACAGGTCTGGTTATATTGGAGATCTAGTATCCGTTGGGGTCTAGCACCAATAGGAGCTCAAAAAAATTGTTTGAATTAACAAAAAACGTCATGTGGACATACAGAGCATGTCTAAAGAATGAGGAAAAGAAACAGGAAATCTTTAATACAGAAAGCATCTTCTCCCCTGAGTTCCTGCGTTGTTCTTGAATTCCAGTCCTTTATTACTTTGATACTGGCAGTATGATGACTATCAAATTTGGGGTTTTACTACATTTTGTCAACTCAAATACTACTTGAAATAAGTAGGTCCCCAGCTGTCACCCAGAGATTTTTTTATTTTTCATAATTGAGTCGACCTAAACATCACCTTTCACTTGAGTTGCTTATGTCTTCATCATTTTACTCCTGTTTTGCAAATGGGATTAATGAAATATAAAAATTTAAGTGCTTGGGGCGCCTGGGGGCTCAGTTGGTTGGGTGTCCAACTTCCGCTCAGGGCATGATCTCATGGTCCGTGAGTTTGAGCCCTGCGTTGGGCTCTGTGCTGACAGCTCAGAGCCTGGAGCCTGCTTCAGATTCTGTGTCTCCCCCTCTCTCTATCCCTCCCCTGCTCACACTGTCTCTCTCTCAAAAATAAATAAACATTAAAAAAAAAAGTTAAGTGCTTAATCCTGGTCGGTCAGAGAACTATTCTGAAAGCTTAAGGGCATAATCAATTACTGCTTTTTCTATCATTCTGGTTAATTTAACAAAATAAATTCACCCATCCATTTATTTAATAAAACATCTGAGTGTCAGCTCATTAGTTTGGTATCATTTCACACCTGATTCATTCAATCCTAGTTAGTCTCTCAGATGGAAAATGTACTCAAAGCCAAAGAAAGGCAGTTCAGGGTAGAGACTACACATTCCAGCATGCAACAGTCCCATGGAATTTGCGTTGTCAATTTCTGGAGCTTAAGCCAGTCTCTCCATTTGGACCGCACTGACGCTGCTCAGGCCCTCACCGCTACGAAGAGAGACAAAATCTCTCTGATCCCACACCGCCAGGACCGCCTGCCAACAACCTACCCATGGCACTTGATGCGTCACGGGGCAGGTGCGTCCTAAACCCAGGACTCCTTAAAGGACCTGAACGGCTTCTCTGTGGGTACTGCTTGCCGGAGGGGTAACAATCAACAAGTTGTCTCCGTTTGCCAAGGTTCTCCCAGCCAATTTCAGATGGTGCAACGGCTCACCTGAACCTACCCTCACTGCTTTTGATAAAATCCCTCGAGGGGCACATCCTGAGCAAACCAAAAAGAGGCATTCTTTTCTGTTGTCCTGCACACCCGCTCTTTCTCACACCGGATCCCGGCTGCGGGGGGTTCAAGCAGGAGGGAACGCAAGGGAGCGGTCGGGGATGGTACCCGCTCCACTCCCTCTAAGGCCAAAGGCCCCACAATGGGTGGCGGCCGAGCAGCTCCTACTCCTCCCAGTCTCCACTTCCCGCTCTCTCGGGGCTCCTCCCAGGCCTAGCCCCTCCTTCACACCGCACTCCCACCTCGCAGTGTCCCTGTGAGCCCCCTCCCGGGTTACCATGCTGGCGAGGCGGCCGGCCGCCGTCGAGGGGCTCTCCGCACCCCCTCTGCACCGCTCCCCCGAGGAGGTGTGCTGGGTGTCCGGGTGTCTACTCCTGTCCGTCCGCTTCAACAGGGCTTAGCAGAGTTCTCGGTCGGAGAAGCGCACCAGGCAGCGGCAGTAACTGCGGGCCCGGCGTACGGCAGCCATCTTCGCAGGGCAGGGGGCCAGATCCGGGCGCGCTAGAGCGACGGCCGGGAACTCGCGGAGCGGAGGGACGCCCGCTGCCAGCGGAGGCCGAGGACCGAGCGAGCACCAGAGCGTCGACGCTGCTGAAAACCCCGGACGCCGCGGAGGAGCTGCCCCCTCTACTGCGGAAACCTGTGCGGACGCACCGAGCATGCGCAGTGCCGCTGCCGCTTGCGTGCGCCTCACGACTCCCTGGCCTCGAGCGCGCTCCCTAGTGGAGGGGTAGGAGGTGTGCGCGAGGTCGCCTTGGCAGATCACCAATTTGCCGACTTCGAATTTAACCTATGTATTCGTCTCAGTGACCACTTATGAAAACTTGAACAAGCATTATATCAAAAATGTTTATAACTCAAATCTAGGGTTGAGACCTTAAGGTAAACATCCCTTCAGGAGCATCGAACTTGGTGCTCAGGAAAGTCGCTACACGCTTTTCGGGGACTCTGGTTCAAGTCCTACGCCAGGATTTCAAGGAAACGGAGAAACCCCACTGCAGTCACAGGCTGTTATAATGGCTAAACTTTTTGCAAGTACGTACTTGGAAGTTCAGGAAAAGATAAGCTTAGTATAGAAGCAGGGCGAAAGAATGCCAAGGCAAGACTTGCCTTACTACAAGTGTCTCCGTTTGCATCCCATCATGCAAGAGGGGAGAAAGACGTTGAGACTCCTAAGGCCCTGAAACCCGAGTCCAGAGGAGACGGAGCCCGCAATGTACTCTGGGGTTTGTAGTCCGCTGTGCCGCGTAGAGCGTCGGAACTTATCCGCAATACGAGCCCCACCTCTTAAAGCCCAAACACCTGACTTTGTTTCCTCACAAGACACTCCTTTATCGGGCGATTTATTATTTTGCCGCACTTTACATTGTTTTAAATACGGAAGTTTGCATGCTTTGTAAAAACCTACACTCTTACAGCCCCTTACCTTCATTTGGCAAATGTCTAGTTTCTACTAGTTAGCTAACTGACAGTTATCAGGTTTCCAAGAAGCTAGTTCAACGAACCCACAGTTTAAATCTCTTATCCATTATTTTATTCTGGAGATCTTAGACATGCAGTACATCTTTGGCAGAAAAATAGGGGCAAAAAAAGGGGGGGTGGCAGAATGGTGAGCTACAATAAGGAAGACCAACGGCTATCTTTTAATATTAGGATCTACCATCCTTTGGATGTGTAAGTTTTTATTTCCACCCTAAATCAGCTACCTAGAAAAAGTACCTTCATGTTTAACGAAGGCCAAAAATTTTAATAGTTTTTAATTTTTAAAGGAAACTTAAATCTTTTAAAGATGACTTTCTTCTCAATGACTTCTTTAAATTGATTTTGCAGTTTAAATAGGAAGGGGGGAGATCAGATGTAAGGATTTGTAATCAGAGAAAGTGATATATGTGACTCATGAATGCAAAAGATTAGTTTCACAAATGAAAAATGAGGCATTGAAATATTTTCAGAACTAGTCTATTTCATCAAACATGTTGAATGCTAATTTAAGATCTCTTGGTCAATTAATTCAGATTTCTATTCTAGCTAATAAATAAAGCTTAATAAAATATACCATTTGTAACGATAAATTAAGCAGCTATTTTATTAAAATGCTGTTGTTTCAGTTACTAAATTTCAATTCTAAATATCAGTTACTAAATATCAGTATCCACTGTATCCATTAGACCTCAGATTTGTATTATCTTATATTATACTTACAGGGTTATAATTTTCCTGACCCAAACCATTTACTAGCTCAGTGGACCCTTGTTAAAGGTAGATCAAGACTGTCTCTCTTTTTTGCTGGGTAGACTTGCTTGGACAACTGAACTTGACTAAAACTGGTAATTTTAGGTATTTTAAAAATCACTTTTCATGGGAGCAGCATACAATTTGTTAGGCTACCCTTCTTATCCCCCTATCTTTTCATTGATAATGACTTTCAATTTTCATTTGCCATATGGTTTGGGTATTATATAGGTAAACACAAAGATATATAAATGTTACACGTTTTCCAAGTGGCCAGATGATCCTTTCCCAGTTGGGATAGGAAGTCTTGTATCTTGTGGGTTTCTTCAATAGGAGGAAGAAGAGAGAGGGATTCAGACCTTTGTTATAGATTCTATTAGGAAAAAACAATGCCTTGAGTTCTTAGAATTCAAACATAAAAAGAGAAAATTGATATGAAGATGAGCTGGAGAGTTTAAAACTCAGAGAAAGATCCACAATGTGGATCAGTTGCTGTATTGATTAAAATTGTGTTGCTCAGGGCAGTATGGTTCCCTGGACCAGCAGCATCAGCACCAGAATTCTGGGGATGAGCCCAGCAATCTGTTTTCACAAGCCTGCCAGGTGATTCTGATCCCTCCAACTAAAGTTGCTCCCTCCTGCAGTCGACTAGTTTTGAAAAATGTAGTCTTGGGGCAATTATGTAACTTTAAATTGGGAAGGGGGGAGGAGAAGGCTTGAAGCAGTTTCCTTTTTCAAGTCGCTTCAGAACCAGCCTTTATGTGGATGATTTAAGGTAATGTCTACAATATAATTTATGACACAAGTGACTGTGTTTAACACACAAGTGTGTTAGATTACATATAACTAGTTACACGCAGAATACAATTGTTGTATGAATCATATCTAGTGTTTCCCACCTGGATAACAATCCAGCCTTTCAAAGTAAAGTTGCTAACCGTATAAAAACTCTTCAAGTTCAAATGAATGCTAACAAGCAACCCGTTGCGTTTTTATTTCAAAATATTTTTTATTGCTGTAAAGTATAACACAATCTGCCATCTTAACCATTTTGGAGTGTACATTTCAGTGGCACTGATTTCATTCACAATGTCATGCATCCCCGGTTATGTTCTTTTAAACCGGGCAAACGTTTTCACCATGATTACCTGTAATGAAGTGTTCTCAGAACCTGTGTCCACGGCCTTCGT